GTATCATGAAAGAGGTTAAAGTGATTATAGATTCATAGCTGGAAGGACGTTAGAAGCAATCTGGTCCAATCCTTTCATTTTTATAGATGGAGAAACTGAGTGACTTACCTAAGGTCACACAGTTGGTAAGTAGTAGAGTCAGAATATCAACCTCCATCCTCTGACTCCAAACACAGCAAGAAGAGGTGAAAGAAAGGTATATCAGGAGTAGGATACAGTATCAAAAAATACACAAAGGTGGAAAATCAAAGATTAATTTTGGAAGATGAGTTGTCCAGTTTAGCTAGACTACAATGAGGGGAAATGGTGCCAGGGTACAGGCACAGTCTCATCCATACTCCATGGGATGGTTCCCACTACAATAAAATATGACCTGAAAGTGCATTTTTTAGAGTGGATTCCTATTGTATTTGAGGACCCTAACATACAAACCCAGGCCTGCTTCTGTGCCTTCCCACCCTACTCCGGAGCTTTGAGGTGAAGCCAATGCACTGGCCTCTGAGTTCTTGATACTTAAAAAAAAAATCTCAAACTGGGTACCCCTTACTCTAAATGTCACAGCTAGAAAATATTCAGCTGTTTTGCCCAGCCTGGTGTATAAATGCTCAGGGAACCCTTGACATATAGCCACCCTACACATGAATGTATATAATCCATGCAAGGATCTTTGAAACTCTCCAAACCCCCCCATCAGAATTTCCCCCAGTCTTGGAGCTCTCCCCAATCACCCCCTTTCTTAGCATACAGGGATATGGAGCAGAACGTGTGACCGCCTGCCCCTGAGAGACTGCTGGAATTCTGATGAGGTAATCTCATCACTTTATCATGGGGCACTTACCGAAATTACAAGACAAAGCTACCAGCCGGCTTTGCTGGCAGCCAGCCTCCAGGCCCATAAAACAAATTGAAAGGGACATAAATAAATAAATAAACAAATAAAATCAGGACCTTCACCTTCCCCTACCCTCACTCCCATTCCCAGTCTGAACCCTAAAGGGCCAAGAACTTTTCTTAGGTTGCTGTTGCTGACCCTCTTTCCACCTGCTCTTGGGAGGTTGGAAGCCAGGGAAACTAATGGGTTCTAATCAATAGAAGCATCGTGCTTAGACTGAGAAAAACAGTGAAGTCCAAGTGTTTCCTCACCTGATCAGGCCACATCTGGAATATTCTGTCCAGTTCTTGATACCTCATTTTAGAACTGACAAACTGGAATGCACCTAGAATAAGGCAAAAAAAAAAATGGTGAGAGCATTCAAAATCATGCCTTGTGAATATTGAAAGATTTGAAGGTGTCAAGCCTGTAGAAGAGCATACTTATTGAAAGGGTCAAAGGATTAGATCTAGCCTCAAAGGGAAGAACAAGGAGGAGCGTATGGAAGTGACAGAGACACAGATTTTGATTCAGCATAAAGAAAAAAAAAACTTCTTAACCATTAGAGCTGCTTCATAATGGGATGGGGTGGTAGTGAGCTCCCAGTCCTTAGTGTATGAGTGGAAAAGGATGACCAGAGAGGTTGTATGTGGGATTCACAATTTGGGTTGGGGTTGACCCAGATGATGTCTGAGGTCCCTCTTAATTCTAAGATTCTGGGATTCCATGATTCTTTAGTGATGGTGGGAACCCTGGCCAACATACTCACCCAGAGGCACCAGTCTTCTGTGGCTGCTTTCGTTTTTATCTGCAGCTGGCAAACACATTAATTCAGCAGTGACCATAGTGACAGCAGAGCCAGGAGTAGATTCCAGTCTTCCTGACACCCCAACCAGCAGCATGCTTTTTGTTATAGCACTCCCATAATAATATAAGAATTAGATAACGATTTAAGATAACTATAACAAGAGATGCCGTAAGGCAATAGAAGTGCTATTAATAATAGCTAACATTTATTTAATACCTCACATACATTGTCTTATTTGAGTCTCTCCATGGTCTTGTGAAGTAGGTGATATTACTAGTAGTTACAACTAGCAGTTACATAGAGCTTTGCAAATATTATCTCATTTGATCCTCACAACAACCCTAGAAAGGAAGGTTTATTATTATCCCTATTTTACAGATGAGGAAATTAGGGCAGACAGGTTAAATGACTTGAACTGGGGTCACACAACTAGTTTATGTCAGAGATGGGATTTGAACTCAGGTCTTCCTGAGTTCCTAGGTTCATAGCTTCTGCTATTACCCACCTCTTTCTCCTCCTTCTACTAGTACTAGAATTTAATTAAGGTTACAAAATGCCGTTCACATGTTATCTCATTTACTTCTCACAACAGCTCAGTGAGTTAAATGCTATTATTATCCCCATTACATTGATGAGAAAACTGAGACTGAAAGAGGTTTAATTATTTTTTCCAGGGTCACACAATGATTAAATGTTTGAGGTGGAACTCGAAGGACAGTGCTCAATTCACTACACCACATAGATGCCCCATTACAGATATTATTTTGATTTTATAAAGGAAGAAACTGATAATAAGTGACTTTACCATGGCCACACAGCAGATAAGTACCACCTCCCAGAAAAAAAAGAGACATTTTGCTGTCTAGTTGAGCGCTCATGAACTCTGTACCAAAGTAAAAGGTCAGTGTGGTGTAGTAGAACACAGGATGGGGAGTCCAGAAACATGGGTTCTAATTTTGGCCCTGCCTCTAGATCTCTCTGTAAACTAAAGCAAGTACCGTCATCCTTTTGGATGTCAGTTTCCCAAAAAGAACTAATGGAACTGCGAGGATGATGAGATAAAAGCTTGTAGATTAATTATATATTGTCTATGCACAAGGAGTTCAATGTGGAACCAAGGATACATGTACAACCTTCATTCAAAGTTATTTAGAGTACAGTTATCCCTTCCACGTCATGACTTTCCCCATCACAGTTTTGATATACTGCAGGTCAGCATAAGAAATTAAATGGGAATTTGGGGGGAGTTTTGCAGAAACTGCAGATGACACACGAAGGCCAGCAGACAACGTGGAAAAAAGTTTAGAAACTTAGAAATGCATAAATGTATGTATAGTATTGTATAATATCAACATATTTTATCTTCTGGTACCATAATAATTCAGACTTCTTCTCTGGTAGGGAGGGCCAAAAATTTTACAAGGATTTTCTAGATTTGGGCAGGGGTACGCTGTGTCCCTGTCCCCGAGATGTGGGTGGGATAACTATACTTTGTGGTCATGATAGATCTCAGGATCTCTCTGCACTGTGTATCCTGGTTGTGACATTTTCTTAATTTTATTGTCATATTGTCCTATGTGCTGGTGGGGATGAGGAGGCAGATATGAATGGGAGCAGAGACCAGCAAAGATATCCTAATATAAAATGGGCTCTCTTGCATTCCCCATTACTGGAGGTTTTCAGGAAAAGGCTAGTTGCTCGTGCGTCAAGGCCCTTGACTCAAGGGTATTATAGAGGGGATTTTTGTTCAGGAATAGGTTGGTCTAAGATCAATGTTTCCCAAAGGTGTTTGTTCTTTGAACCCCTTTCGATAAAAATGTATTGTGAACCCCCAGGGTAATTTAATATGCTATTCATAATAGTTTGCAATTATTTACTGTTTAAGGTGCCATTGAATTTTTAGCATGAGACCCTTGGACCCTAACTTCCAGATTGGAATCACTGGACTAGATCAAGGGCTCTGAACCTTTTGTGTGTCATGGACCCTTTTGGCAGCTGGTGAAACCTGTAGATCCTTTCTCAGAATAATGTTTTAAAATGAACAAAATAAAATATGCGGGATTAGCAAGGAAGCAAATTATATTGGAATATAGTTATTGATTTATCTTTTTAAAAGTTTGTGGACTCCAAGTTAAGAACTTCTGTCCTAGATGATCTCTGGGGTCCATTTTAGCTCTGAGGCTCTCTAATTCTATGGCACGGTTACTCCAAATTGATGGAATCTCCCCAGAGCATTTCTATTTGTCTTTAGAATATATTATCTGGTTATACTTTCCTAATTATGCTTAGCTTCCTCTCATGTTGAAATTAGTTTGCATTTATTGAGGGGAAAGTGACTCATGGATAATTGAGAGTTGACTGGATTGGGTTTTCTTTTTACTATTTTAAGCTGAGTCTGGTCTCCAAGAGTGGCTCTATGTTACCTAGGCTGGTTCAGGATGCGAGGACGGATGCTCAAGGAAGAGATAGGAAACTGAATTTCTAGGGACTAGTCATCTCGCAGTGAACAGCTAGGTGATGCATAGGGCTGGGGATCAGGAAGACTTATCTTCCTGAGTTCAAATCTGACCTCAGACACTTACTAGCTGTGTGACCCTGGGCAAGTCACTTAACATTGTTTGCCTCAGTTTCCTCACCCGTAAAATGAACTGGAGAAGGAAATGACAAACCACTCCAGTGTTCTTCTCCAAGAAAATTCCAAATGGGATTATGAAGAGTTGGACACAAAACAACAGCAACAACAACAGTCACTTCACAAGGCTATGCTAAGTCAGGGAAGACCAGGGAGTTAGCTTCAGGCCACTTAGGTCCTTGGCCCTAATGTTTTATTTCCAGAGCTGCCTTGGTGCCAGGCTGGGAAGGTAGCAGGCAATTCATGAAGTGTTAGGGAAATCAGGCTTGGGTCTTTCATGGGTCACAGAAGCTAAGGCTCAGACCCTCAGCAACTTCCCTAAAGGAGTTAAGACATTGGAGCTCAAACCAACAAAAGCTGTTTGCAGCTGTTCCTCACCCAGGTGATTCTGACTGTAAAGAAATGCCCCTAAGTCTGTTGTTGAAAAGGGGAGCAGTACTTTTAACAAATGGCTATCTAATAAGCTTTGATTATCTGGCTCACTGATGGCTCTAAGGTCAGTGAGGTGTGATGAAATCTTAGGGGAATGTTTGAGAAAAACTGCAGCAGAAAGCTACCAGCTTGGGCCACTGTGGTTCCCTTCACCCTCGCCCCTTCTGGACGGCTGGACAGGTGAGGTCTGGGCAGAAGGGGCAGGTGCTGTGCCATGAGATGCCCTCCAGGAGTGACCTCTCTGTGTCTGGTTGCAGGGAACATTGAATACAGCTGCCCGGCCACAAATGAATGTGAAATCACAAAACGGAGACGCAAATCCTGCCAGGCGTGTCGCTTCATGAAATGTCTCAAAGTGGGGATGCTGAAGGAAGGTAAGAGGCTAGGGGAGGTGGGCGGTGGGGGTGGGGCAGAGCTTTCTGTCTGCTGACCTGTGACCCCTCTACAGTCTCCAAGTTTCCTGGTCTAGGGAGGTCACTGTCCTCAGCTTTTTGAATTCCTTCCCATAGTTGCATTTGCCTCAGCTGGGACTTCTGAACTACTCATATAGGTTGAAGGCAGCATCTACCTCCATGAGGAATATCCTTGATGAATCCTATCAACAATTCAGGGGCTTCTTTCCTTTTTCCAGGCAGAGAGGCGGTATTGGGGATATGTGGTTTAAAGGTGTTGATTGAAGGTCGATATATTTCTCTTCAGAATCCTGACCCATACTGGGACGGGATAGTACCCAACTCCCAAGCTAGCCCTTCTCCTGTCCTCCTTCTCCTCCTCCTCCTCTCCCCTTGAGGTGATTAGGCTATGAATTATTGCAGGAAAAACACTGGATCTGACATCACAAAACCCGGGTTCAAATATGAGTTCTGCTATTTACTGTCTTTGTGACCTGGGGCAAATCAATTAGCCTCTGCAGGCCTCAGTTTCTTCATTCGTGAGAGACAGTGTGGTATAAAGTGCTGGTCTGAGAGCCAGGAAGTCCTGGCCTCAAGTCCTGGCTTTGTTCGACACATGGCTAGTTGTATGACCCCTACGCAAATCACTTAACCCCATCAGTGCTTGGAGCATTTCTCAGACTAATAATGGTAGAGAAAATTTCATACTAAATTGTGAGGTGTTTCCTTATCTGAGAGCTCCCTACATCGATAAATGTGCAGGTCCAGTCCCTATCTCTGTCCTTTCTCATGTGTAACATGAAGAGATTGGACTCAGATGATGTCCAGTGTTCTTTCCAGCTCTAAATCAATTCCACAGACGATTGTCCAATGACACCATGCCATGTTAGTCCTTTTTCCTTCACCCCCTCCATCTCATGTTCAGACTAAAGACTAAGACTTTAAACCCAGGGAGTGGCAAGTGACCCTTTTACTGTGATAGCCCGTAGGGGAGAGGCCCTCATTCTGGAAGAAGTGGATTGCTATGGCTGGCTGTTTCTGGCCCAAGATGCTGCTGCTTCTCCTCCTTGCTCCCCGGCTCTTTTTTCTCCCGTCTCTCCTTTTTCTCTTCCTCCTCCCTTCTCTCTTTCCCCTTTCTTTCCTTATTTCTGTTTCTCTACTTCTCTCTTTCTTTCTTTTTTAAAAATTCTTTTCTCTTTTGTTTCTATCTTACCTGAAACTTCACTTATTGATGTGCTCAGGGTTCCTTGAATAGTGCTCAGCTTCTTTCTTTCTTTTTTTTCTTCCTTCCTTCCTTCCTTTCCGCCTTTCATTCATTCTTTCTTTCTTTTTTCTTAGTTCCTTCCTTCCTTCCTTCCTTCCTTCCTTCCTTCCTTCCTTCCTTTCTTTCTGTCTTTCTTTTTCTTTCTTTCTCCATTCAAAGTAAACTACTAGGAATTCATTCTTATGAATTGACCTTAAAGCTTCATGGTCCAGGATTCCCTCTGGAATGGGGAAAAGCTGGAGTATGTATGGGGTAGGGGGAGGTGAGGAGGAAGGAAGAGAAGGAAAAA